AACCATTCGACCGTAGCAGGATTCGAACCTGCGATCGCATGAGACCGCGTGACGCCTTAGCCAACTTGACCACGGTAGCTCGCATGCTTAACAAATTAAAATAAACTATCTAACCTAACTTTCTACATCATGACCTAATAAAAGGCATTTATGTGCCTACATTTTCTAGATACAATTTATTTCTGCTGTTCTTCAGAGAAGGTACAATTGAACTTGTGGAAAATTTCAAGATTAAATGTAGACAATTTGAAACTGAAAGCAAGAAATAATTTCAAGAGGCTCATATATATGCCCCGTCCAGCACGCTAATTTAATAGGCTAAGACCGCACGTTTTGTTGGCCTTGCTTCCTGGCCTACACGTGGGGGTTTTTCGCTGTATATTATATAGTTATATATTAAAGTTATATATTATAACTATATATTATAGTTTTATATTATAGCTATATATTATAGCTTTATATTATACCTATATATTATAGCTTTATTCTATGTAGGCTCAGACCGCACGTTTTGTTGGCCTTGCTTCCTGGCCTACACGTGGAGGTTTTTCGCTAGGTATATATTATAGCTTTATTTTATAGCTTTATATTATAGCTTTATATTGTGGCTATGTATTACAGTTTTATGTTATAGCTATATATCATAGTATTATATTATAGCTTTATATTATAGTAATGGATTATAGCTGTACAGAATAGCCATATCTTATAGCTTTATATTGTAGCTATATATTACAGTTTTATATTATAGCTATATATTATAGTTTCTTGTTATGGCTTTATATTATAGTAATTGATTACAGCTTTATATTATAGCCTAATTTTGTATTTATTCACACGATAACAGTTATCGGGCTCATAATCATCACACGGTGAGTGTTTCTTTCCGTACAGAGAAAATATAATACGTCTTTTGATAAAAAATTTGTAATAAAAATATTAATAATACAATGAATATTAGTGAAAGAAATATGCTTGTTCCGTAGCAAAAAACTTTGTTAAAGAGTCACGCAATTAGAAAGATGCTTACAGGTCAGAAAACTATTGCAACCTAAAAATGTGATAAAATACCTCAAATAAATATCCATATATAGAAAATTAGTAGATTTTTTAACGTCCGAGGATAAATGTAGAATATGTATTGACATGAAAATTTACAAGAAGAGAACATAATATATAAATATATCAAAATTATCAGTAAAAATATAAATAAATCTTGGGAGAATGGCTACAAATTGAATATATAGAAAATGAAAAACAGTGAATACAAAATTTTAGCGAATGAAAGTAAAATTACAGGAAATTGAAGACTAAATAAATTAATGTAAGGAGGTGGCATGCGTGGACGGTATTCAGGATACCGAGTGATAGATATGAATGTGCTGAATTTCAGCATGAAAGTGTGCTGAATAGACATGAATGAACTGAATTTTAGCTTCAATAGTTGCTGAATATTAGATGAAAGAGCGGAATGTCAGCGTGAATGTGAGCTGAACATAAATGAATGTGTTGTATATTAGCTTGAATGTATGATGAACAGAGCTGAATGTTCTGAAGGTCAACTGTAATTAATGCTGACTTGAGATTAATGATAGCAGGGACTGATAATTGATATAAATTAAATATCTTTATCCTATGCGTTATCAAATTGATATTAATTAATTATCTTTATACTAAGAGTCATCAATTCGTAAAGCACACGACAAGCAACGAAACAAAATTATATATACATTCATGTATATATAATTTAATTATATTAGATTCATGTGATAAGTTCCCTTATTATGTATTATCATAAGTGTCAACATGTCCAAACGCATTGTTTCTAGAGCGGATAGCAATAGAGGAAGCATTTATTTTTATATAGATGAAGACGGCAGCATCAGTCATGTCATGCATGAAGATGTACCAGTTGTGGCTGTTAGAGATGCGGAATTGAGATGCTCTAGAGTTAATTTTGTGCCTGTTTCTCTCAATATTGTTTACAATATTGTTTACAATATTGTTTATAATATTGTTTACAGTATTGTTTACAGTATTGTTTACAATAACATATTGTTTCATGTGGGAGCGACCAGGAAAATGTATATTATTATGAAGGAAAACATACGTGTTCTAAAGCACCAGTGGCATAACGGGATTAGAGTCAGAAGGTAATAGAGTAGCTGTACAGTTTATAGGAAAGGTACGTCGTCCAAATTAAAAAGAGAATTAAAATAAGAAGTGGGAGAGGTTAGGAGATGTTAGTACGTTAGTAGAAGTAGAGCAGGTAGAAGAACCTTTAGATGTGTGGTCAGAAGAAAAGATACGCGATAAAATTAAGCAAGAAGATAACATCGATGGCATCAGAAGTCAGCTGTTTATCGTATGTTGGCCAAAACCCAGGCTGCATTAAGCAAGAGTGATGTAGATATAGGTAGGGCTAAAGTAATTCAGAATAGAATAAAATTAAGCGATAATGCACCAATTTGGCAGAGACATAGGAAATTTTCAGAACCAGTTAATAGGGAAATAGGCAGTGTAAAAAGACTTTAGTTAGGCATAATAGAGAATAGTGAGAATAGTTAGGTATTGCAGTAATTGCCGCCCTGTGTGAAAGGGTCCGTAGCGTTAAAAACCGCCTCGTGTGAACGATTGTGCGGTAAATACCGCTGCGTTTTTTGACGCTTGCGGTATTTGCCGCCCCGTGAGAAAGAGGCTTTAGCATCTTCAGCAGGTGTTTGGGACGTAGCAGCCCCAGGTCACGCTCGAGCGCCCCATGGGAAGCGCACGGGTCAAGGTAACCGGGTTTCACGCCTCTTCTTCATTCACACTTTGCTTGTTATTTCCGTTTATGAAGGAAAGTATTTTTGTTCCCTTGGCTGAAGGAAATGACTAATTAGTTTGTGTCTCTTGCTTGCTTCGAATTACTGCCTTTGTTAAAGACAACAAAAAATTCGGAAACTCACGCGACTGAACCAAGGCTGAAATTTTAAATGAAACCCGAGTGATAAAACACCTCGATAAGGAAAAATTAGGGAAAATTTCTCATAAAACTCCTATTATTTATCATATGGAAAAAATGTTAAATTCGAACAGTTTCCAAATTTTCAAACGGAGCATGAATAATCGAGGTTAATTCTTGAGCCATCAAAAGTCCCCGCAGGCAATGTCAGGTTGAAACAACAAATGTCGTGACGTTGAAGTAGCGTTGAATATTAGTTTAGAATGAAAATTGAATCAATGTAATATTTTTCAACGTCGAGCATTTCGACGTTGTTTCAACGATGAAATCGCGTTAAACTCTGACTTTAAAATCGCATATATATTCGCGATTTTACTGTCGNTTCACGTGTCTGGTCAAACTGGGTTCATCCGCTCCGCTTGGGGTTCACTTGAAACTCCTTCCAATGAAATTGCAATTTCGCATTGAGAAATTTCTGCAAACGATGCATCAGCAGCCATGATGTATAATTATTTACCATTCAGCTAATTAAGTTCAGCGGCAGTTTTATTTAAGTAAATTATCCAGTTAACCGTCATGCTCAGGTGGCGTTTGATGACTTAGCAGCACAGACTGCGGTAACAGGCAATTAAGCAGTGCGGCAAAATTCCTTCATCTTTACAATTATATTTGATCCAAAGAATTACGAAACAAAGCAGAATAAGAGAATGTTAGGAATGTAAGCAATTGAAGGAATGAGCTCGAGAGTTAAATGATTCTTAGACTTAGGCAAGAGCGAAGGATGAAAAGGAGTTCGTTGTTTTTAATCACGCGATCACCGACGCGTGAAGCTTTTCCCACACATTCATCAGTCACGAGACAAAAGGAAAGACATGCTACGCTCAATTACCAGCAACAACAACTTTACGTCGCGTTGTCTTGGGTTATTCCTTCAAGAAAAAATATGAAAATGCCAGTCCAAAAATGCCATTGCTCGTTCATGTAATGATTATTGTTGCGTCTCTTTTTCCCGCCAACTTATGAAATCCACACGTTATGTGTAAAATTTCCATTTCCACGAACTATGGAATTATTCATTTACTCACACGACAATTTTTCTTATGAATGAACGAAAATTTCCAAATTTAGCAAAAATCATGATGTTTGAGTCCACGTTATTAGTTCGGTGATCGTGGCTTCATTAGTTCTAGTAAAATTTTGTAACATACGAGTAGATTAATGTTCACCAGAGCCTCTCAGATTAAAACACTCAAGCGTTCAATAAGGTAATTAAAGAAAGTTTAGGCATGCATTATAATTCCTTCTATAGATTGTAACACGAACTATTCACTGTCATAGATATTGATGAAGACGACAGGGAACACCGACGCTACATCTTCAAGAAGCAGGAGTTTATTTTAAGTATTTTATTTTCTCATTTTTAGTCCGTTGCTACACACGAAACACGTTGTTGCGAGCCAATTTACTTGACTTGATGTACGTATCGATGATACGAAGCGTATCATCGATATACGCAGTCTAAACACAAATATCCTCTCGAGGATGACGTGCATTAAAGGTTCCAACCCCAGCTTGTGAGTTCCTTTAGAGTTTATACGCCTGGAAACGTGCAAACAAATTATTGATTATTGTATTGTTATCGGGAGCTGAGCTTCCCTAAAAGTTTCAGAGCGCTAGCTAATGGGAAAGTTGGTGAAATATCGATTGCAAGATTTGATCATCACAGACACGAAAGCGAGCTAAGAAAAACGTGGTAAAAATAGCAGGGTGTTCCGCTTGAAAATTTACAACGATTGATATGCTTGCGAACTATGGAATGGTTTAAGGCTTAAGCCTTTAAGGATGGTATGCATCCAAATAACAGAATGATATTAAATTCCTTATATGTAGGTAGCATGGGAAATGCTACGATGCTCTATCCTGAGCTTCTTTAAACATCGTCTCTCTAAAATATTCATAATTATATTCACCCAAGTAAATGCTCTCACCATGCACCTAAATGTAATGATTATTAAATTAAATAATTATTATTGCAATATAAATGCCCTCACCTGTGTTCTGTCTGAGCAGGAGTTACAGCAGGGATTCTTCAGTTCGCCTCTGATGTACAGATTTATGTACTCGTCAATGGCTGTGGCAATATATAGAAATTGTTATATCATTGTTCAGAGGCTGTGGCAATATTTAGAAATTGTTATATCATTGTTCAGAGGCTGTGGCAATATCCTGTTCTTTCCATATTCCTGATTTAATAATAGTCAAAGCAAAAAAATTTTAAGTTGGTTCACAAACATAAGGAAATAAAAGTGCTACCCGAATGTGCTTCATTAGACTTGAAGCTGTTTGATCTAATTCAAGATACCAGCTTCCAAAAAGAGCATGTATTGAAGTACCTTTCCAAAATCCTCAAGTGCAACAACCAGACACAAAAAGGCCTAATATTATAACGTAATGTTTCTTATAATATATTTACTCATAATAACGCACAGGTCTGGCGTGACTCCTGGACATCTCCTGTCGCCTGGAACACAAGAGAGATAATTTGCTTCAGTGAATAAGACAGTTTTTATTCTTCTATCCTAGCCTTTAAAAGTCAATTATTTATCAGCAATATGAAAAATGTGGTATATTGTAAAGCAGAAAGTTCTCCTGACGACCGGCCATGTAATGCAACACAATAACATACAAATTACATTCTATAAGGAAATGAGCTTGTAGAAATCCTGATCAATACAATATATATGCACTTATAATATCACTTCACTCCAACGAACCCTCTTTGTTATTTGAGCTACCGATCTTAGGTTCTCAGTTCCCTGCGCAGGACATAAGTTAATTTAAAGGTGCGATATTGCACGGATAAATTCATGATATGTTGTTTATTTTAGCTAAACTGTACAGTAAGCGTTGCTATACCTCAGCGGTGTAGGCGGCGCCCAGCAGCACCAGCATCAGCATCATCAGCTTCATGGCGCTGCAGGATCACAACAAATCAGACTTTTGAAAATTGCACTTAATATTTTCACAGAAATTCCTTAAATATTATAACTCAAGACAGTGGTTATTACTAGCCAACGAATACGTTGATTTATCTTAATATTGCATAATGTACAATAACAATAGCACGAATATACCTACAGAGTTGCAAAGTTTTCTTGCTGAGACTTGGACCGCAGCAGTAGCACTGAGCCCAGCAGCGCCCGTCGCGGGGTTATATGCCCCACGGGGCTTGAGATTCACGGCCCTGAGCTTTAGGCATCAAAAGAAAATTAATGGATTAAATCAAAGTGTCATTCAGTTCCATTCAACGTATTATTCTAGCATGACTACTCCTATCTATATTCTCTTAGAAGCTGTTCACCTGTGGCTTTGAAAAGAATATTCGATGAATAGATTCTTCAGGCGAATTATAGGCGCAATGAATTTCTGATCAACATTCAATGTGCTCAATGGGGGCTTAATTAAGATTTAAGGCCGTGAGCAATAGGCCTTAAAAATCGATGGATTAAATCAAAGTGGCATTAAGGTCAATGCAACGCTTTATTCTAGCATGACTAATACTATTCTCTTTGCAGCTCTTCACTTGTCGCTCTGAAAAGAATATTTGATGAATAATTTCGTATAGGTGCAATCAATTCCTGATCAGTATAGTCATTTGTCTCAATTTCTCACGAACATATATACAGTCACGCGCTGCATACTCCTGCTGACGTGTATGTGGCGTGAGCTGCATACTCCTGCTGACGTGTATGTGGCGTGAGCTGCATACTCCTTAATGAGTTTTGAAGAATATTTAAATAAAAAAATTTCGTGTTCTTTCTATATTCCTGATGCAATACTGGTGAACGTAAAAAAATTTAAGTTGTTATACAAACATAAGGAAATAAAAGTGCTTAATTAGACTTAGCATAGCATAGCATAGTGAAGTAGGCTCTGAAGAATAGGCCAGTCGCAGATTTTTGTACTTTTCATGGCTTGTCCATTGGAGACCTAAAAACAGGTCTTTCTACGTCGGATCTTTTCCAAACTGTCGATAGTTTGAAATATTTCCCTGACTTCCACCGGATTCGATATGGTGCTAGGCATTTCAAGTCTGAACATATATTTTTCCATAGCTTTGTCTAGTCTGTTCTTAACGCGTTCATACTAGGAGCCCCAACGATATCATCGGGGAGGCTGTTCCACATGGCGGTGATTCGAAGCGAGAAGAAATGTTGTCGCGTGGACAAGTTGCATTGCATTTTTTTCAGTTTATAGCTGTGGCCTATGGCGTAGGTTCTTGTTTCAAATTCTAGTAATTCTTCGGCGACCTTGTATAAGCCATAAGTATACTTGTATAGGTACTCAATGAGGTCCCCACGCAGACGTCGATAACAGAGGCTTAATTGGAAGCTTCATAATCTTTAGTCTTTCTTCATTGGACTTGCCCTTCAAGCCTGGAATTATCCTTGTTGCATCTCTATGAACACTTTCCACTTGTCCTTTTCAAGTTTCGGTTACCACACGATGTTTCCAGACTCTAGGTTCGGGCGCACGACAGCAAAAAACAACTGCTTCATCGCTTCTGCATCTATATAGGAACTCGAAAGAGCGTCTAATAAGTCCAAGAAGTTTGTTGAATTTATTAGCTTGCGTTTCAATATGTTCAGAAAATTTCAGCTCCTTGTCGACATAAACTCCCAAATCTGTTTCCACACAAGACTTTCCAATCATTACTCGTTGCAACAATGTCTTCTCATATTGTAATCTTGCGCTGTTCATTGTTTTTCCCGAGGTGAAGTACTTTACAATTGTCTGCATTAAAACGCAGCTGCCACGTATAAGCCCAGTTAAATAAACTGTCAAGATCATCTTGCAACTGCACTGTATTTGACGTATAATATGACGGATGCCATAATTTTATTTGACGCATGGCATCCTTCACTGCATTATAAACTTTTGTATCATCGGCATACATGTAGCACACGCTTGACACTACTTCTGGTCGATCGTTCAAAAAAGCAACGAAGAAAACAGACCCAAGAACGCTTCCTTGTGGCACGCCACTGCGCACTGATGCCCTGTCTGATACGGTTCCGTTAATACTTACGTGTTGTCGTCTACCTATACTAGAAAATCTCTGATCCATTGGAGTGCATTTCCCTCTATTCCCAAAGACTTCACTTTACGCAACAGCCGCTCATGCGGAACACTGCTGCTTTTGCAAAATCGAGGTACAATGCATCCACTGGCTCCCTTTCGTCCAGCAGGCGAGTCCAATCGTTCAACGTAGATAATAAGTTAGTGGTGCATGATCTACCGGCAATAAAGCCTGGTTGACAGTCTGATAGGAGATGGTGAACAGTCAAGTGATCGATTATCCTATCTCTCACAACACATTCCATGCATTACCTTACAAACTACACTTGTCAGGCTGACAGGGCGATAGTTACCAGGGCTACTTTGTCACTTTTCTTGAACGATGGTGTTACTTGAGATTCTTTCCAATCGGTCGGCAAAGTTCCATCGTTTAAGTTTTTTGAAATAATACTGTCATAGGGCCGGCCGACTTGAAGCTGTTGTTCCTTCAAGGTACCAGCTTCCAAAATGAGTATGAGTATCAACCAGCCACAAAAAGGCCTAATATTAGAACGTAATGTTTCTTATGATATAATTACTCATAATAACGCACAGGTCTGCCGCGACTCCTGGACTTCTCCTGTCGCCTGGAACACATGAGAGATAATTTGCTTCAGTGAATCATGCGACTTTTATGCTTCTATCCTAGCCTTTAAAAGTCAATTATTGATCAGCAGTGTGAAAAATGTGGTATATGGTTAAGCAGAAAGTGCACCGGTCGACCGGTTATATAATGGAACCCAATAATATACAAATCAAATTTTAAAAGGAAATGAGCTTGTAGAAATCCTGATCTATAAATATGCACTTATAATATCACTGCACTCCAATGAACCCTCTTCGTTATATGAGCTACCGATCTTAGGTTCTCAGTTCCCTGCGCAGAACATTAGTTAATTTAAAGGTGCGATATTCCACGGATAAATTAATTATATGTTGTTTATTTTAGCTANTAAACATGAATGACCTATATTATTAAGTATACAGACTGTCTCTTATACACATCTAGATGTGTATAAGAGACAGGGCCCATAGCGGGTTTCCCGCCAAGTATGGCAGATATTGGACCGTGTTCTCTACCGCCGGTCGACAGTTTCACTGGGATGAAGTGTGTGGCTCTATGTTTTGCTAAGAGTTTTCGATGGTAAGTTACTTGCAAATAATTGTATTAGCCCTGATAAAAGTTTTTTTGCTGCCAAATAAAACAGTTTTCGATTACTGCATATGAAGCTTTTGAAAGTACTGTGAATTCTGAATTATATTTGAAAGTAATATTTATAGGGATAATTTTGAGTTAGTATTTAGACTATTAGCTTTTAAAGTAAAATGTTGACACGGTATAAATTTATATGACACCTAGTGGGGCAACGGGCCCATGCGTGTCACGGGGCACAGCGCACATGCATGGTGGGCTCAATACCTATCTGTAAAGTCTTGTGTTATACATCGCAGATTTGTCTTAATGAGCTCTTCAAAACTATGACTAGCTTTTTTAATTACTAATTACACTTCATATTGTATGATTTTTTTATTTGCCGCCTTAAGGCAGCAGGTTTAGTTTCTAGTTATGCGTATTTATGACCCCGTATCGAGTTATCGACTCTTGCCTTGCCAAAAGTTGATTTCAGCCAACACCAATGAGCCTAAAGAAGATAAGTTTTTATGGTGTTGGCTGAAATCACGATTATGTATGAATTCCCTGCACATAATATCTGGATTATTTACGAAACTGGAACGAAGTTTTTTTGTCAAGTATATATATTTTTTCTAGTCAAGGATACATTTTCCCATGTCAAGGATGAATTTTTTATGGAAAGGATATATTTTTCAAGTCAAGAATATGTACTTCCATTTCAAGGCAATATTTTTTTTTCACGTCAGTGCATGCATTTGACATGCATGCATTCGATGCATTAGACATGCATACATTCGACATACATCCATTCGACATGCATGTGTGACGGGATGCATATTATGTGATATTTTTTTAATTTTTAGGAGCACTGTTTTGACCACGTGCTATTTTAATGACGTTCTTTTGTTAGATTAGTTGACTCAATATGATTGAATATATTTTTATGACTAGAATAAGGAATCTCCTTTGTTGTGATATCATCTATCTGTAGCGTTGCGTTGCAATAGTCTGCTAGGCAGAGGTGGGCAGTAGCGCGCTACATGTAGCGGCCGCTACATTTTCAGTATCGGTAGCGGTAGCGGCTCTACATTTAAGGCAATGTAGCGGTAGCGGAAGCGCCCGCTACATATTTAAGTAGCGATACGAGGTTTTGCCGCTACAGCGCTACCGCTACATTTATAGATAAAGCTTTTAGATTTTACTTAAGGGGACCGGCTACCCTCCAACAAAACTTTTTTGTTTACAGACGGATCGTTTTGAAACTTGGTACACTTATGTAAACAGAAATCTAAGACCTTTTTGTTCATGTAAATTTAAAAAAAAATGAAAGAAAACGTGAAATTAATAGAAAACGGCATATAGGGGGTACTCTAAAAACAATTTATAACTTTTGCAGATCTTATGCTACAATGTCGAGACACATATCATTCGATTTGTAACAGCAATATCTAGCGACTGTAGAGCCCCGATTTTTGATTTTCCTCATCGTTTTTTTTTCGCGTTTTTCCCATTTTTTTCACATTTATACCACCCCTTCCTCCCCCTCTCATATATAAGTCAAACCATGCATATATTAAAAAAGGGCTTCTAGAGTCGNGTAAGAGAATAGGTGCTGTCAATCTACGATACCATCGTTAAATTAAAGACGGCTACTCCACCATCTTGCGTAAGGAAGCTAGACATCTTAGAGTAGATGTTCTATAAGAATTAGGTAGTCATGTTGTCAAAAGCCTTAACTCTTTATTAATATGATTTTATTAGGTGATAATACTTCTCATTGTATTTGATAATGCTTAGTCAATGTTCATTTGTCTAGTCTATTCACGAACTGGTATCGACTCACGCGCTCTCGAGTTAATTATCCTCGCGAGTTATTCTATCTTATATAAATTTTCACTTTTCATTGTTTGACCAAAGGATTATATTATGGTTCAATTTTATTATAATATACTATTTTATCTTTTTTTGCATATAGACGATTCTTCAATGCCGACACTTC